GGTACCTTTTTAATATTACAACCCTGAAACCTAATTAACTACTGTAACTTATGTATATTCACTCCACACCTCAATGTTCACCTCCATGAAGACTGGCCTCTGAGTAGAAACGGACAGTAGTCATTATAGTGAAATCTGGGAACTCTAGTCAGCAATATCCACAACTAAGATAACATGTTGGAAGTACATTTGCTGGAATTAATAAAATTCTCTTTTAGGATACCTAGAAATACTTGGTAATGATAATATTTATTGAGTATTTACTCTATGCCAGGCACTGTTCTAGTCAGGGGAGTTACAGCAGCAAGCAAGGCAGAGCAGGTAGGTCTCTGCTCTCAACTCTGCTTAATTCTAATGAGGAAAATAGATATAAACAAGGAACCAAATGATAAGTCAATGAGATAATTCTACCTAGTGATGACTGCTATGAAAAAAATAAAAGAGAAAGATGGTCAGAGCAAGGGTGGGGAATGTCCGACCTTCAGGCCATATAAGGCCTGCAAAATCATTTGTTCTGGCCCTGCCAAGGCATTAGAGGTGAGTTAATTAAATCTTTGACCATATATAGCAGGCTAGTTTTTAAGTTGATAATTTTGTATGGCCTGCAAATAATGTTATAAATATTCAACTGGCCCTTGGCAGAAAAAAGGTTCCCCACCCTTGGTCTAGAAAGTTATTACTGAGGCTGCTAAATACAGTAGTCAAGGAAGAACTCTCCATGGAAGTGACATTTGAAGTAAAATATGAAAGAAGAGAAAATGCTAGCTGTAGGCAGACTGGCAGGTTGGGGAAGAGCATTTAAGCCAGAAGGAGTAGCAAGGGCAATAGCCAGAGGTAGAAAGTCATTAGCATTGCAAAGAACAGAAAGAAGACAGAAGTGACTAAAGCATCCTATATAATAAAAGCCTAATATGCTAAGTGTTCCGTTGTCCAGTCAGCCTTTCAACCAATCAAAGCGTACCATGCTAGTGGTATGCTAAGGCTGCTCAACCGCTCGCTATGACGTGGAGAGGGCAGATGCTCCGACCAGTAGGTTAGCTTGCTGCTGGGGTCCGGCTGATTGGGACTGAGCAAGATGTGCTGGACACACCCTGGAGCCCTCCAACGGTTCCTCCCCAGCTGGCCAAACTCCCGTGTCTCTCCCTGGCCCTGATCGTGCATCAGTGGGGTCCCTCTGCCTGGCCTGTGCCCTCTTGCAATCCAGGACCCCTCAGGGAATGTCAGAGAACCAGTTTTGGCCTGATCCCGCAGAACAGGCTGAGGGACCACACTTGTGCGCGAATTCGTGCACCAGGCCTCTAGTCTTGAATAAAAGAGAAAGTCAAGTGAGATGAAGTAGAATAAATAGGAAAATAAGCAGGGATATGTCACATTGGGCCTTGATGGCCAGGGTTAAAGTTTTGATTAGTATTTCAACAACAACGAGGTATCGTTAGAGGGTTTTAGTGAGCCCTCGTCATTCACACTTTAACCTGACCCTTTCTCCTAAGAATTATTTTAGATCAATTGAAATTAATCAGCTGAAACCGGTTTGGCTCAGTGGATAGAACGTTGGCCTTCGGACTGAAAGGTCCCAGGTTCGATTCCGGTCAAGGGCATGTACCTGGGTTGTGGGCATATCCCCAGTGGGAGATGTGCAGGAGGCAGCTGATTGATGTTTCTTTCTCATCGATGTTTCTAACTCTCTGTCTCTCTCCCTTCCTCTCTGTGAAAAATCAATAAAATATATTTAAAAAAAAAAAAGAAATTAATCATTAGGGGAGAGTGGAAGGAAAGACGGTGAAGTAACTTTGGAATTTGAGAACTGCTGCAGGAAGCATTTCTGGTTAGTGATTGGCTCTGACTTGTAGGAAGACAATGGACATGGTCTGCATGAATCTCCCACAAGATTAGGAATTTTACTACACTAAAGATATTGAATTGAGGAAAGAACAGTTTGTTTTTCTTTTCTCTCTTTTGTTTTTTGTTGGGGGTTTTTTTCTATTTTTCAAACACTTCTGCAAACTATGAGGAATTAAATGTGGGGTGGGAAGGGTAGGATCCATTGTGTGTATATACATATGCGTATGTGTTATGGCTCACCCTGAATTCCAGGCAATGTCACTGTCAGCCAATCACCAGATAATGTCTATTGTGTGTCCTGCAAGTCAGCAGTGCTACGTGTAACTTTTCAGCATCAACATTAATCATTTCTTAAATATTCAAACTTATAAAAATGATTCATATTATAAGATAACATATATATTTTCCCTCATTCTATAATTTTTTGTAAAATGTCAATATTAGCTATCCAACTAGATTTAGCTACTTCTTTATTTTCACTATAGCATAGTTACTTGTAATATAAAGGCCTATCCTACTATTAAAAAAAAAGCTTAATTTGAGTTTTTAAAAAATAAGAACAGTTCATATGGAGCTAATGAATCACTAAAGTTTTTATTAAGATAATCTTTATAATTAGAGTTCTAAAGTCAGACTTTTATTTTTTTTTAACTTATCTTTTCCTTCTTACCCAACAAATGCATTGCTGGGCTCTGGTCCATCACCACCCACATTTCCTATATGAATTTGTTTAGATTTTCTTGCTTTGCTTGCATAGTGCCTATTTCTACATACTGATTAGAGTGCCTTGTCCTTTCACTGTTGCTATCAACATGGTTAAACACAAAAACAAAGATAGCTGGGGAAAAAAATCAATATTTTGACCTGGTTTCCTGTATAAAGATTCTACAGTTTACAAAAGACAGGATCATTGTTTAATAAGCCAATGACTCATACCTCTTGGCATAGTCACCTGACCAAAAGGATGCCAAGTCTGTTTAGGTTGTGTTCTTAGTTGATTGTCAATGACTGTTATTTCCAAGGTGACCTATGTACAGTATACTTTTGCATATGACAGGTTTAAAAGGTTTTGAAATTACTGGCAAAATAATAGTAAATGCTGAGCTTACTCACATTCAGCTTGTTCAGTTAAATTATAATCCTTTTTTGTGAATAACTCAGAAAGTATTTTGAAGATTGAGATTTTCTTTTCTGGGCCTGAGTAGAAAGAAACATCAGTTAAGATAATGCTATGCTAGACCTGGTTCTGACCAGGTTGGGAGAGCCAGTTGTTACATTTTTCAGAAATTTTGTGAGTCCATTATTAAACACAGCCATTATTACAAATTAAATAATTTAAACTTACAATTAAATAAATTAAATTAAAAACAAAGGTAATAGCTCTAGCTGGTTTGGCTCAGCCCACAAACTGAAGGGTCCTGGGTTCGATTCCAGCCAAGGGCACGTATCTCGGTTGCAGGCTCAATCCCCAGCCCTGGTAGGGGCTTGTGTAGGAGGCAACCAATTGATGTGTCTCTCTCACATCGATGTTTCTCTCTCCCTTCCACTCACTAAAAATCAATGGAAAAATATCCTCAGGTGAGGATTAACCAAAAAAACAAAAAACACAACAACGGTAGTAAATACCTAAAAATCTTTACATCATAATCATCTAACTACATTTTGCTATCCATACTCTTACGGTTGTTTATATCTACTGTACTTGTATAATGAAATACTGTACAATGGTGTTGCTACTGCTCATCTCTTCTCAACTCCATGTTCAGTGACATCAACCTGGTAGCTTGAAATAGGTCATGGTGGGAGTATTTGCATAGTGTTGAACTTGAAAGAGTTTTACTTTAATGACAATAATTTATATGAACATAAAAAATAGTTTAACAATAGATCATATAAAAGGTGTAATGATAATAAATTTATAGGGAAAAGAGCAGTTGGGGCGCTACTAAATGCATGAATTTGTCAAATCATGGTTGGTTTGCTGGCTGTGGATACAAGTGTTTGACCAAAATCAACAGAAGCATTATGTGAGAGTCAATTGGCTATAATAGAACTTGCAACAAAGAGTACTGTATATTTTATTATTATTTGTAGATTGCTTATTACACATCATTCATATTAGCAAAATTTATAATAGCACACATACATATAGTATACATACTTTTCCCCCTGAAGAGTCCCTTGTTAAACACTGAGCAGACACTACTGTTCTGCATGAAACATGAAATTCAACACACAACTTGAAATTTATGATAGAGAGCAAGTTTGTCTTTTTGTGAACGTAATCTGCTAAAATCAGAGTGTGTTCATGCTGAAGCCCATTTGGTCTACCAATTTTGTCTCCATTTTTTAATTTGAAACTCCTCCAACTTCAAAGAGAACCGGGATGTCAACCAAAACAGTAGACATGTTTGCTCGGCCTACAGTGTCATGGCCATCACAGAGAATTCGGGGAATATTGTTTATTTAAAACTATTACTTACAAAGAGAAACTTTTAAATCAAATCATCGAAGCAGGTCTAATTTATCTTAGTTTTGCAGTTTTACCTTTGGATTCGCCCAAAAAGCACAAGGGTAATGTGCACTTGCTTCCTGAACAATTTGGCATGCTCAGATAGTCCTCTCTGTCTGACCCTCAGGGAGTGGGACTGCCTAACACTCAGACCAGAAAACGCCTGCAACCCAACCACCCCAAAGAAGGGGGTTGCCAGATCACACCATGGTTTTTAACCACCTGTTACATATTTCAACAGAAACCCTGCTCCAGCATATATCAAAGGATCTCTATACACAGTCATAAATAAGAAGTACTAGACATTGGTGGCCTATTGTATGAAGTTTTATTAATCCATTATCCAGCATGATTTATGTACGGAAATAGTCAGACAGACAGATTGGCCTTTGTTTCACCCAGGAACATGTCAGATCATTTTCATGAAAAACTCCCTTGAATGATTTTCCTGGGGAAATGAAGGCACCCATGATGTCTATTCACAGACTGAAAGTTACTTAGTTCTTAAAGTCGACATTTGTTTAGTTAAATTATCAAAATGCCAGCAAAAAAAAAGTCCAGATCTGAAGCATGTGTTTGTTAAGAGAAGACTGGGAAAGGTATTTCGGGTCCATTATATAACTGCCACTTTTTGTTTTTATTCAAGGTGTCATAAAACTGAGTTCTGCAGTTGAAGGTATGTTTTACAACCACAAAATCAGTAATGTTTTGCTTCAAGGTTGCATAGCGTGGCTTTATAGCTAGTAAGCTTCTGTGGCAGTGGTGTTTGATGCCATGTTCTAATTGCCAGCTATTGCCATTCCGTCTGTGTTTCTCCTCGTTCTGATCATTTTCTGCCACAAGTCTCTCCACCCTCCACAAGTGGCATGAACGCTGACCCGAGAAGGCAGCATTTACGAGCGAACATATCTGTTTGTATTTTCTGATGTGATTGCCTCAGATCCAGGGCTCTGTAGGGATCCCCTGGCCCTCCAAAGGCCTTCTTTGAGGCTGGACATTGGGTCTTATCAGGAGCCTTGCCCCCAATCTTTCAGCAGAGCCTTCTCTAGAGCGTTTTGGTCCCTTTATGCCAACATAGCAGACATGATTGCCCAGGAATATATAGGCCCGTAGTCATCAAGGCTTCCTGATGAGGAAACCAAGTGGCTAAGGCATTTGCCAGGCTCAAGTGCAGGTTCTTCCCAAGCTGTGTGACACCCAGGGGGGATTTCGAGGCCCAGCTTCCTCTAGTATTTTCCATATTATCCCTATCGGGCAAGTGGCAGTCCCCGTTCGTTATGCATTCAAGAAGCTGAGAAGAAAAGGAAGAGGGATTTGAAGACAGAGGAGAATCATTGGGGAAGAAAAGACACATAGCAGCATTTTGCTGAGTAACCCCCAAGACTATTAAAAATACCTCATTGTTTGAAATGGTTCATTGGTTATTGGCATAAAGTTGATTCCCTTGCCCTCATAGACGCATATAATCTGAAAGTAGAGAATGTGTAATTTTCTCTTTTTGTGAGTTTCTGTGTTTGTTTTGGGATGTGTGTGTTCTCATCTATTGGGAGTTTGTCAGTCATGCTTCGGAGGGGAGGCTCCTTGGAAGAGGTGGTGGGGTTTAAGGTGAGTCTTCACATTTAAAGGGCGATGTGGCTTGATGAATGGGCAATGCATGGAGGTGGGGAGTGGGAAAATGCAAGGGGGGTTGGAGTGGTGAGACCATCCGCTTGACTCAAATAAAGGATTGAGAGGGCTGGCGTTCCAAGGTTGGAGGATGAGAAAGGGGCTCAGTAATGTACCCATTGGGCTGGCAAGTCCGTAGTGGGGGACTCTGCCTTCTGTAGGTTTAGTACCATCACATTTTTTTCAAAACCAAGTTTCAAAGGCAATATTTCTGACACGCCTGGCAAGAAGCATGCTGCTCCTCTCAGGCGAGGCAAGGACCAGGAGCAGGTGCAGGCCGTGGTGCTTCCCGGTCGAGAGGGAGGAACACAAGGATGTCGCCTCCAGGAGCCAGTGAGAGCAGGGGGCACGTTTCGGGCCTCTGCGAGGCTAAGCAGGAATACACCTTCCCCAAGCTCGGTAACACGCAGTTGTATTGAGAGGCTATCCAAACCTCTCCGTGCCCGACAAAACATAGAAGTGGCAACAAAAGCAAGCAGGCCCATGAGAAAGACCTTGCGGGCAGAAACTCCCACGCAAGCGGGCTCCGAGTTTCAGGTCACTATCTGTAGAATTCCAGATAGCAGTTGGTCCACTCCGGGCTGTTGGATGTTTTATCAAGAAATGGCCTTGAAGTCGGAGCTTTCCATTGCCTGCTTAGCTTAAGCACAGTATTCCACTTACAACAAAAGGACAGAAAAACAAAATAAAATTTTGTAGAAAGCTACGAGAACATTCGATAATGTAAAAACGATTCTTCAGCTATAACTATAGTTCTGTTCATTATCATGCTAGTCACTACTGTTATTACTAGGCAGCATGGCCTATCTGAACCCCCAAAACAGGTATATGGTCTCCAGAGAAAGATGAGAGTAAGGAAGAGTGAGGGCAGGAAGCAGGCTGACTATTGGGGGCTGTTTTAACAGCCTCCTCATCACCTCCTCTGAGTCACAGGAAGTTCTCGGAAGTGGCCATGGATACCAGAGGCCAGGCCCACTTCAACTGCTGCTTGAGCATCTTTTGGCAGCTGATTGGCTGAGGGCTGTTGAAGGCTTGGGAGCATGCTCTGCTGTAACTGTGTTAGAACATGTGTGTTGCAAGGGCCGCCTGGGATGCAGTTGTCGGCCGGGGTGTGTGTGTGTATGCTCAGTGCATGCATTCTTGGTGCATCTGGAATGTCAGATTTTTGACAAGCATGCTCAGTGAAATGTGTGTCGGACGCTCTCTCTTGATTCCAAATCAAACCTCAGATGGTAGTCCCTGTGAATATTTAGCTAATTCCTGTACTTGCTACTTTCCATCTGTGGAATGAACTCAAGGCATCGTCATACAACTTCTCATGTCAAGGACTATGCAAATCAGTGGCCGGATCCACTGCCAGAAATGAAACCTATTTCTTTTTCTTCAAAAGTGACTCTGTTCTGGATTACCCTAGAACTCTGAAAATAGCATTACTGTTGTAGGTGCGTTATCCTTTCCCTTTCTGTTCTCTTTTTAAAAATAAAACAATTGTCAGCGTCATAAGAGAAAATCAACAGATTCCAGTTGCTCCTTCCTACCAAGTAGTTTTGCTTGCAGTTTTATTCCTTTTCTTCTTCTGAAGCAGGGGTGCCCCCTTCAGCATTGTGCAGCTTCACATGAGCTTTTAAATTCAGCAGGATGAAAAAGCCTGTATCACATTAATGGTAAGATTAAAGTGAATTGTCCTTCCACATTATAAGACTTAAAATTATACTTAAACAGAAACACACATCGATGCTTCACTTAGTTTGAAATATTTGAATAGGGAAAAACAAGTTGGAAAGAAAGGACTGCAGTGAAGAATCCTGGAATCTAATTTTAGATTGATAAGCCCAAACTCAGAAAACTGGTGTAAGGGAGAGACATCCAGACAGCAAACTGAGGGGCAGGGGAGATAGTAAGGGCAATGGCAAGGAGAGAAAAACCATCCCAGGGCAAGAATTCTAAATATTCCTCTTAAAAGGGATTTTTCCCCTTGAAATTGAGCAAGGAGGGAGAAGGTGGAGGGAGGGACACATATTTCCACAAGCAGGACCAGTGCAGCAGCCTAATCGAGGAAAAATGAAAACAGAGGTCACGGAAGAGCTGAGTCACGCCTGATTAGAATTGCTCTGATATTCCGAAGGCAGCTATTTCTTTCCAGGGCGGGAGGGCCCAGCCCCAACCAGAAGCTCTTTATCCAGCATATGAGGAGATGAGTTCAGACATGAGGGGAGTGGGGAGCATTCAGGCAGGGAGGCAGCAAGTCTGAAGGGCAAGATGAGGCAATGGAGGCTGATGACAGGCTTTGCAGCTGATACCCAAGGTGTGTTCCGTGATGAGACTTGTCTCAAAGGTGATTTGTTCCTACCTGGTAGGTAGGTAAGATTCCAAAATGACATCAAGTTCTTTTCAAAGCCTGTATGAGGGAATGAAGTTTGACTTTAGCCCTTGCCCAACCCCCAGGCTATCCCCCTCTTCCCCCCCACCCCGTCCCCCCTGCCCCCCCCCCCCCCCCCGCCTCTCAGTGGGGACGCTGGGGGTTTCAATTAGCACTAGAGGAGAATGGGTGAGCGTCAACAGTAAAACCTCTGTGAACAACTGTGATTTTATAAACAAAAGCTCCCCTGACACGTGAAGCTTCTGTTTTTCTTTAGCTTCTTGTCACTCCATTTTATTTAGATATTTAGATATTTAGATATTTTTTAAGTGTCTTATTTCTCCCTGATAATGGTTCATGAACCATCAAAGCAGGGGACTTGGGGCTGTTGTCACGTCCAAGGTGGTGTTTTTGATGACCTCATGGCCTCAGACCCAGGAATTGCAACAAATCCTCAAATATGGGAAAGATAAATCAAGTAAAATCGTGATGCAATTTTTGTTCCCATTTTCAAAATTCACAGCTGTAAAAGTAGAGCTGCTTTTTCTGTTGCAACGCTCTGACCTAACTTCACATGTGTGCTGAGGAGTGGGATACTCATTTGCTTTGCTTAAATTCTATTTTCCATATGACATGGGATGAATCCCAAAATACCCTTGTCTTAGTCTGTTTAGGCTGCTATCACAAATTGCCCCACCTCCTAATACCATCACCCTGGAGGTTACAATGTCAACATATTAATTTTGGTAAACACAAATATTCAGTCTATAGCAACCCCAAATGGTTTTAACCTTTAAAAAGTATTCTAAATGTATTGATGTCATTTCCTCCCCAGGTGAATTTTATTTTTGTCACTGTCTTTCTACTTTTTAAGCAAAGCTATATGTTCATTTGTCAGGTTAGACTGTGGTAAACCCCATTAACAAATAGATAGCTGATTTATTACTATTTCTAGTAATAAATTTGGAATGACGTTTCCACATTTTTACTATTGGAATTAAAACAAAACCTCTTTACAGGCCTTCAAGCCAGATTGCTACAGAGAGGGAAGGGCTTCCTCCAGGGAAGGAATTCCTCCCCATTCCAAAGCCCAGGGTGAAATGTGAAGGAGGGTCAGGAATCTAAAAATGCAATATTGTAGAAGCTGAAAACGAGACTGGAGAGAGTTATCTCTGCAATTAAAAACAAAAACAAAACACAAAACAACACCGACTTTCTGCTTACAAGGCCAGCCTGGAAGCTGGATCGTCCTACGAAGCAAATAAGTGTTCCCTTCTCAAATGTATTTTGCAGAAAATTGTCATTATACTTTTGGCAAAATTTTCCTATTACATAGCAATGTCTCTGAGGAATGAGAATTAAGTTGAAAATTTACCAAATAGCTTCTTAAAACTAGGACCCTCCCGAAATGGCAAAGATGGGGCAATGTGACCCAGAAACAAGGTATGCCTAGTTTGTGGTCTTGCTTAGGATTACCCTTGCTGCAGATAGAATTGACCTTGAATAACTATTGGCAGCATTTCAGAGCGCTCTCTTTTTTTTTTTTTGTGGTTTTTCTTTCTTCCCTTCCTCCCCTCCCTCTCCTCCCCCTGTATCCCAGCTGCACTCCTCTGTTTCTACACATGCAATAGAAGGCATGGAATTGGGGTTGG